ATCGATGCAATGAACTTGGCAGAAAAATGTATGCAATTTATCATAAAATCAAATTCTGACTGGGATTTTTATACTTTTTGTAAGGCCATTATTTATTTATTTTTTGTTGTTGTTATTTTTCGGTCATACAAGGACCCACTGTGGATGTGACCGGTAGGCAGGGGTTGCTCACTCCTCCATGGCACCTGATCCCACCTCTGATGTTTTGGAGGTCCGTGTTTTTCTGCTCCTGTTCTGTATTGTTTCATGGGCCTTTATCCTTGATTACTCTTCGTTATCTACATGAATATTCTCTTTAATTAAGAAATTTTAAAAAAAAAGTGGGTTTAAGAAAATGTTTAAAGAGTGGGTTCAAGAACAAACTATCAAATTATGATGGAAATTATTTTTTTCTTTCACAACTGCATGCACTAATTATGAAAAAGGTGAAAATATTAAGGACACCGTGTAATTTTCAACTATGGATATTACCAGTATATTGTCAATTTCCTTGTAAAATCTCTTCGTATCTGTCCCCAGCTTTTTCAAAGTTACAGAACAGATCGACATTTTTTAGATTGTTTTTGATCTGATCACTAGTCTCATTAAAGTCTACTTTGGAATATATTCCTCTCTTATATCGATTTTTAAAGTTTGACTTGTAACAAGTATCTGTATCTAGTATCTTTATACAGAGGAGGAATGAATCCTTTTTCTTTTTTTCCGAGATAGTTTGGATTCTGCAGTCTGTATTTCTGGCGCATTTTTCAAGGCTAGTTCCCATTTTAGATCCTAAAAAATACAAAAACATGACTCCAAAATTAGAAATTGTTTTAAAACCCAGGATATTCTATCGCAAGCGTGCAAGCAAACACAAGATATGATTTATTATTTTTTGTTAATGCCACCTATTTTTTGTTTTATTTCACTTTGTTCATAGAAATATATAAATGTACTTTATATAAAGATGTGATCTTATTTTTTATTTGTAATAAATAAGAGGTAGAGAAGACATTGAAACATTGAGATTTCAAACAGAAATCAAGTTGAAAAGTCCATTAAAACAAAAAAATCGCTGGCAGAAATAATGACGATCTCTGGAAAAAAATCAGTTAACATGTAACAATCATGAGAAAACAAAGGAAGCGAAAGTATACATATACATTCTTATGTATTTGTTTTCGAGGATAAAACACCCCGTATTAAGTTTTCTAACTTCAGAAGATGATGTCTGCAACAAGAAACTACACCTTACAAGACTCATGCTTGACTTAAAGTTGGAAGAAGAGAACAAGCGCCGAAATCATAAAATGGTCCTCAACAAAAAATAAATATCTCCGTCCCTTGTATGGTGCATGTAAGCTAAATACGTTTAAAAAATATCGATTTGATCATGCCTTGTTAAAAAGTAGTTAATTTTACACTGATTGATTGATCGATACAGATTTTGACTTAATGTTAAGAAATAGCATGATAGCCGAATGCTCAGTTAAAGTTCACATTTTGTCCGGTCTTCGTCTGTGCGTCTGTCTACCTGTAAACGTTGTACATTTTCAACTTCTTCTCACGAAACACTGGATTAATTTTAACCAAAGTGACACAAAGTATCATTTGGTGAAGGGGATCGATAGTTGTATAACTGAAGCGCCACCTTCCATTCCAAGGGCAGATATATAAATTTTAGTGAAAAATTAATCGTGTCTTTAAAAATTCTTCTCAAGAACCTCTGGGACAAGAAAAATGAAACTTACTAGTAAATATTCTCTGGTGATATTGATTAAAGTTTATTGAAATCATGATCTCAGAGGGGAGGGCGGGGTCAAAATGGAGGATGAAAGTCTTACACCGTTATATGTAGGAAAAATCTTTGAAAATCCTCTCTCAACAAGATGTGTTTGTGAAACACTATGCGCCCGGCGGAAACAAACATATTTTTAGCATAAAGGTCACAGTCAAGGTCACAAGGTCATTGATTTTGGTGTAATTTGAAAGAACTTAATTAGTGGAGTATGCATACAAAACATGAAGTCTCCATATTTCATTGTTCAAAAGTTATAGTGAATGTTCAAAAAAGCTATTTTTAGCATATAGGACATAGTCAAGGTCACAAGGTCATTGACCTTGGTGTCATTTGAAAGAACTTAATAAGTGAAGTATGCATATCAAATATGAAGTCTCTATCTTTCATGGTTCAAAAGTTATAGCGAAGGTTAAAGTTTGCAGAAAAAAACTATTTTAAGCATATAGGTCACAATCAAGGTACAAGGTCATTGACCTTGGTGTCATTTGGAAGAGCTTAATTAGTGGAGTATGCATACCAAATATGATGTCTCTATCTTTTATGGTTCAAAAGTTATAACGAAGGTTTAAGTTTGCGGACAAACAGACAGACAGACAGACAGGACAAAAACAATATACGCCTCGGATCTTTCGATCCGGGCGCATAAAAACAGCCAGATCATTATTAATCATGATTATGTTCAAGCATCCTATAGGGTACTGTAGATTCTAATTTGTTTTGTTTTTTTTTAAATCATTAATTCGGTAGGACGGGGCCACAAGTTTTACATAGCAATATATAGGGAAAAAACTTCTGAAGTACTGCAAAATCGTGATTGGTCATATTAATGTGAAAGCATCCAGGTATAGTTGAAATTCATAATTGTTAAAACCATGACCCGAGGGAGGAGGGAGAGATCTGTATTTTAATCAGATTGATATACTGTAAAAGTGTTTATAAATTCAGTTACTAACATCGAGTTGTTTCCTTTTGAAAAGGTCAAGTAGTTTACCACATGAATAAATTACAAAATAAATTACAAATAATTACAAAAAAAATAGAAAGGAATTTATCCTTGAATTGCTAATTAGCAAGTTTGAACACTGTGAACAACTGGTCACATTGCATTGCAATTAAAGGTCAATAGTTGACAATTAAATTCAATTGTTAGAAAAAACCATGACGAGTTTAAAAAAAGTTACATTTTCATCCGATACTGTATATTTATCTAGGCATTCAAAACCATGATAGAAAGGAATTTATCCTTGAATTGCTAATTATGAACAAGTTTGAACACTGTGAACAACTGGTGCACATTGCATTGCAATTATTTGCGCAAGTTCAGACTTCAAAGATCTGTGTCTGCGTGACGAGTGTTGACAATTATTTCAATTATAATAAGGTATGTTTGTAGTGGTTGTGCGTTTATTTAACATTTTGGACTGATTATTTGAAATAAAGAGGGACGTACACGTAAATTCAAAGGAAATAAAAAAAGAAAATATTTTGAATCTGTAATTGTGTGACATTGCTTTGAAATATTTAATACGAAGATGCATTTTTCATTGCATATTTTAAAAAAAGTTACATTTTCATCACTGTTTAAGATACTGTATATTTATCTACTCACGTGCATTCAAAACCATGATTAATAGACGACTGGTTTGAACGGCCTAACAATATAAGTAAAAACAATTGCATATCATGATTCAAGAACTTTGAAATTTTGTGACCATACGCGCGGGGGTATTTTACGCGGTAAAGCTTACATGTTCTGCGTAAGCAGTGTAAATTTCTCTAACGTGTAAACTATACCACTTTTACATTACATGTATATTCATATACTTCAAGACAAAAACACATATAAAAGTGACATACGTTAACTGTTGAGTTGAATTGTTTGTTGCCCATGAATCTGATTTCCAAGGATGGACACACCTTTCACTCGTCACATTTGTTGTGACTTTGCATAAAGCGTTGTTGTTCAATATTTGCACTGAAAAATGCATAACAAAAATGAACTCCATGACTGAAGAGTAGGTTTATATTTGCATCACGTCAGACTGAATGTAAAATTCTATAGTAAATAACAATTTCCACTAACACTTCAACATGCACATTGTTGTTTATATGAGTTTTGAGATATTTTTCACAATTTAATTATTACCAAAGAAGATGTAGATTAACATCCTGGTCATCAACGTTCGCAAGATGATTCTTCCCATTTTTGTGATATCTTTCTTTTCACAATTAGTGAAATGGTGACATTTTTCCAAATAGAAAGTTGTTATACCGTTAACAACTTTATGCTGGAAGGAAAATTAACATTGAACACATGAATCATAATACGGGATCGACCCAGATGTTATTTTCTGCTTATTTGTCATACACTCAGTAGGTTCTCACACTCAAGCTCTATATTAAGACGACATACTCCTTTAATCTAAATGCACTTTAAATTTTCGTATGACTATGTTGTTTCCTAAAAAGATCCATCTAAATTAAATATGTGTTCTGCTTAGTTCAAATGTTTAATTATCAGAGTTATTTCTATGAAATTTCAAATGCCATTGTTTAAGTTAATCATAACCTTTCCAAGATTTATTTATTCCCAAAAAAACATTTGTATACAGCAGTATCGATAACAATGATATTACAGTATTCCTTATTGTCTTAAGTTAAGGGTCGGAAAATTACTCAGGTGGGACCAGTACGGAAATACTAAAGATAATAAAGTGGTAAGATACGCGTTCAATCATCATTTTGTTTTGAAATGTCAAAATAATATATTTCCACAAAATATAGCTTCTCCTTAATTAACATTAAATATCTTTAAGGATGAGTTGGTTGATTACTTTTTGTATGTACAGACGTTTCCATTAAAATCTTCAAAACTTAATATTAAGGAATTTTAAAAAACAAATTGTAACATGAAATATGCATAATTGTATGATCACTATAGTTTGATGACATATGGTGAAAAAACGGCTCAAAGTTCACATTCCATTAAGCAATACAAATCGGGATACGAGCAAACATGGAGCTCCAAAAACATCAGAGATGGGTTCATGTGCCATGAAAACCTCGAAAATCAAATTTAATCCTTACGTAAACACAAATTCCCCCCGACCATAACAAGGAGTACACGGCGGGTGCGACCCGTCGGCAGGGGACGCTCACTCTTCCATGGCACCTGATCCCACCTCATATTTTGGAGGTCCTTGTATACCCTGCTCCTCTTTTGTTTTGTTTAATGGGCTTTTAAAATCAAATATTGTTCGTTATCTACATATATATTAATTAATCAAATTTCGTTAAAAAAATTATATTAATGGTAATGATTTACAAAAAAGTCAGTCTTTCTGATTCTATCCGTGAAACTTAGTTGATCGATATTGATATTGACTCCATATTAATGATAACTATTCTTTAATTTTTTCATTGCAAAATGGCAAAAAAGGATTGTATTCTTTTTTTAACTTTCACAATTTTTACACCATTTGGAGATGTTAAACAAAACGGAAGCACTAAATTAGTTTCACTCTAAGCTATAATGGTAAAAGGACAAACTGGCAATTCAAGGGTTCATTCGAGGGTTATTACTAGTTATATGTGGATTAGACGTATTTTCTCACTTAATATTACAAATTACAGAAATATAGATAATTCAATTTATATTAGGCTCCATATATGGTTAGCAAATGATAAAAAAAGTATTAATCATACGAATCTCTTAGCACTGGAAGTTGTACGAGTTTGTACCAGTTACAATTAAAACTAACTTCCTTATTTTCGCTGTTTCCTCCCCCCCCCCCCCCAGTTTAACGCTTTTAATTTTTTCATTCAGATCGACTTATTATTCTTTTCGGAATAAAACAGCAGATTTCCTAGCTCTAAATAATATGTTGTTGGAATTTCCTTTTCTTCAGAAACCAAACGGTACATTACAATTAAATTTATACCGCAGGTCCAGGAAGGTCTAGTTCTCTTGAATGTGAATTTTATGTTGGAAAAGACTTTTTGTTAAATGTAAGGAAAAATATCGATATTCCACTTATTCACTTAAGATCCCATTGGAAAAAAAGCATATTATGGCTTCCATGGGTCATCCTCGGGTAAATGGCTGTACACAGTACACAAAATTTACAGTGCTTTTCTTAGTTTCATTTAGATATACTGATTTAAATGATTTTCTTAAGTACATGACTTTTAAAAACATCATGTCAGTGTTTGAAGAACAATTTATCTTTTTTTTACTAAATTTTTTACGAGTTCTTTGATTTCATTTGCCATCTTGTCTTTTATGTGCTTTTATGTGTCTTATGTTTAATGTGCCATTTCCTGAATAAACAAACAAACAAACAAAACAAATGTGCAGAATTTGCATATGAGTAAATCAGTTCATACGACATAAATTGCACATGTGAGTAAATTTACTTATGTGTAAAATATACTGAGGTATGCAAAACATGTCGTATGAATGGGGTAATAAGACGTCATCTCTGTCAGTACAGCGAGATTAATTTGGCTTTGATTTCACATTCAAATAGTGTAATAATGACAATATTAGTGATACATTATTTTATGTTTGCAAATTAAAATAATTAAGAAATCAGAGTATATGAGTGTATGAAAAGGAAAATTATTATTTATTCGCCGAGATTCATGTGTACAGTTTCACCGTGACGTCATAATCGATTTCGCAAATCTGTGCATAGACTGATATACCTTTGGAAGTCCTTAACCCAGCTGCGTAGTATGAAAAACATCAGTCAGCATTTGACTCAATGATAAATTGTATTTGCTGACAAGGTCATTATATCGATCATTGAACTTACAAAAATTTTTTGTGTACACAAGTTTTCCCAACTAGACGCTATATGCACAAAAGCATTCTCCGATACTTAAAGGAAAATGATTCTATAGCGAAACATATATCTTTGCCGAGGGCATAATAACGGGTCACTGAAATCAACGAGGTGGGAAAAGGTGCCCAGGAGGAGTAAGGATTTAACCAATAAAAAGCCAGGAATCAGGAGCCTATAAGGATTAATGAGTCAAACATAAAGAGGCCAGGAATCAGGTGCCTATAAGGATTAATGAGTCAAACATAAAGAGGCCAAGAATCAGGTGCCTATAAGGATTAATGAGTCAAACATAAAGAGGCCAGGAATCAGGTGCCTATAAGGATTAATGAGTCAAACATAAAGAGGCCAGGAATCAGGAGCCTATAAGGATTAATGAGTCAAACATAAAGAGGCCAAGAATTAGGAGCCTATAAGGATTAATGAGTCAAACATAAAGAGGCCAGGGATCAGGTGCCTATAAGGATTAATGAGTCAAACATAAAGAGGCCAAGAATTAGGAGCCTATAAGGATTAATGAGTCAAACATAAAGAGGCCAGGAATCAGGAGCCTATAAGGATTAATGAGTCAAACATAAAGAGGCCAGGAATCAGGAGCCTATAAGGATTAATGAGTCAAACATAAAGAGGCCAGGAATCAGGTGCCTATAAGGATTAATGAGTCAAACATAAAGAGGCCAGGGATCAGGTGCCTATAAGGATTAATGAGTCAAACATAAAGAGGCCAGGAAGCAGGAGCCTATAAGGATTAATGAGTCAAACATAAAGAGGCCAGGATCAGGTGCCTATAAGGATTAATGAGTCAAACATAAAGAGGCCAGGGATCAGGTGCCTATAAGGATTAATGAGTCAAACATAAAGAGGCCAGGAATCAGGAGCCTATAAGGATTAATGAGTCAAACATAAAGAGGCCAGGGATCAGGTGCCTATAAGGATTAATGAGTCAAACATAAAGAGGCCAGGGATCAGGTGCCTATAAGGATTAATGAGTCAAACATAAAGAGGCCAGGGATCAGGTGCCTATAAGGATTAATGAGTCAAACATAAAGAGGTCAGGGATCAGGTGCCTATAAGGATTAATGAGTCAAACATAAAGAGGCCAGGGATCAGGTGCCTATAAGGATTAATGAGTCAAACATAAAGAGGTCAGGGATCAGGTGCCTATAAGGATTAATGAGTCAAACATAAAGAGGCCAGGAATCAGGAGCCTATAAGGATTAATGAGTCAAACATAAAGAGGGAATCAGGAGCCTATAAGGATTAATGAGTCAAACATAAAGAGGCCAGGGATCAGGTGCCTATAAGGATTAATGAGTCAAACATAAAGAGGTCAGGGATCAGGTGCCTATAAGGATTAATGAGTCAAACATAAAGAGGTCAGGGATCAGGTGCCTATAAGGATTAATGAGTCAAACATAAAGAGGCCAGGGATCAGGTGCCTATAAGGATTAATGAGTCAAACATTATTTGTCATACACTTAGTAGGTTCCCACACTCGAGCTCTATATTTAGACGATATATATTCTGAAATGCACTTTCAATTTTCAAATGACGTTTTCTTAAAAAGATCCATCGGTATTAAAATATTCTACTTTGTTTATATGTTGTTATTTCCGGAGTTATTTCTATGAAATTTTCCATTTGTCATTTTATAAATTAATTATAACTTTTCCGATATTTATTCCCGGAAATCATTTGTGTTCAGCAGCATAGATAACTATGAGATAACAGTCTTCTATAATGTCTAAAATAAAGGTCCGGATATTACAGTGTTCTAGGTGGGGCAAGTGTGCAAATACTAAAGATAATAAAAATGGTAAGATAAATGTCTCGTCGTCATTTTGTTTTGAATGAAACAAACAGTATTCAAGATCAAAAGTCCTTTAAACAATACAAAATAGGAGCAGAGCATTCACGGACCTCCAAAACGTCGGAGGTTGGATAAGGTGCTACGGAGGAGTAAATGTCAAAAAATATATTTTCAAATAATATAACCTGACCTAAATTAACGTTAGCTATCTTTTAGGATTAGTTGAATGACAACCTTTTGTATGTACAACTATTCAGAAGAGAAGTGTGGGAATTTCTCTCTTCAGAATAAATTTAAGGAATTTAAAATGTAATTTTTTATGACATGCAACTTAGAAAATGTATAAATGTATGATCACTATAGTTCAATAACATAAAGTGATAAAAAATGGCATAGAAGAAGTTCACATTGCATTAAACAATAGAAGAGGAAAAGGGCAAAAAAAATAGAGGTGGCATCGGGTGCAATGAAAACCTTGAAAATCAAACTTAATCTTTAATACGTTTTCCCCCGAACATGACAAGGGGCGGCCAGTGGGCTGGGATGCCTCATGGAACCTGATCCCACCTATATTTTTGTCCGTTTGCTCCGCTCCTAATTTATAATGTTAAATGAATTTTTAA